AAGGTGCACCAGCAAAGAGAAGGTGCAAAAGTTGAGGAAGGTATTTTTTGGCCCTAAAAGGAATTCACTCCACTTAAAGCACCATTGTTGATACACAGACATCTGTCTCACTACTGCCCTCCACTCCCACTGCTGGCATCTCTAATGCTTTGACAGTGGTTACTTGACATCCCCTGCAGCACTGCACCTGCCCAGCAGTAATACTCAACATTCATTCCTACATACTTCATGACACAGGACTGACGAAACTCACTTTTTGTGGCAGTAAGGACGGCCCGTCCCCATCACGTCCCTCTGTGCGCTGCAAGGCGCTGTTGGGTCTCTGGCAGCCTGCTGGCTGCTGATCCCAAACACGGGAAACCGCGCCGCTCTGCTTCTGAAGAGAGAAAGGAAGAAACGTTGGTGGGAATGGGCAGCCAAGGTTTGCAGAGACGTTCCAGATCGTGCCAGAGATGGGATATCAGAGTGCTGGGACGTTATTTATCACTAAGGGAAAATACAGCCTGAGTCATGGCCGTGCCATTAGCCCAGGCTGTCAGCAGCCAGCACAGAATCCAACTGGTTCCTGGGGTCACAAAGGACCAGTAGGGCTGCCCCTGCTCCCTCCCTTCCCTTAAAAATGAGAAAAAGGAAGAAGAACCAAGCAAAAGAAACCCAGCCATACCTTTCCTCTCACAGAGCAGCAATTGGAACTGCGGTCGTCCCCTTGCTGAGACATGATGCTGTCTCAGAGGAAGCTGAAGTTCCGAGGGCTCTCTCCACAGGAACTTCTCTGCTCTTGGAAAGAGCTGGCTTCAGTCTTCCTGAGACTGCCTCAATCTCTGAAATCTCCTTTTGGGCAGGAACCCTGCAGAAATTATCAACAAGGGAAAGACCATGAGGAAGAAGCATTTTCCCAGCTTTCTTCTGCCATGCGATTTAGTCCCTTGAGGAGGGCAATGTCTGGACATCAGCTGGCTGCAAGAGCTGCCAACGCCAGCTCCAGCTCTGACTGCCATGGCTTGTGTCAGCAAGTGCTCTTCTCCATCCCCTCAATAGCTCTGCACCCAGCCATCCGTGGGGCAGTGAGGCACGAGTTGCGCTCTGTGCAGTCTGCACTCTCCTTCCTTTTCAATGTCTGACACAAAGGCGGGGGCCCAGCAGTGGATTTCCAAGGCAGTAATGACATGTCAGCACCCTCATCGAATTGTGGGATGGAATCTCAACAAGAACCCACTTCTCCTGGAAACAGCTGTGCTGAGGGGCACCGCTGGAGCTGGGAACTCCTCCCCAGCCCAGCTTTTCTGCTGAGACACCTCCCGGCA